TATATATATATATATATATATATATATAGTCTCCCTTTATTTATTTATCAGCACAAATAAAAACATATATATATATATTCATTCTATACAGATAGTCCTTGTTTAGCAACTGTTCAGAGTTACGATTATCATAAAAAAGTAACTATGAACAATCCTCACATTTACCACCTTCACAGGTCTATAAAACAAAGGAAAGTTGAAGTAAGTCCATAAGCATTGCTGTGGTTTCACTTAGTAACCACTTCACTTAATGACCATATTGTTGGTTCCAACTGCAGTTGGTAAATGTTGACCACCTAGAATCTTGATCCAATACAGTAATTTAATATCCTTCATTTTGTAAATATTACTCAGTATTCTATAGATGGTAGGCAAACTATAGGGATGCAGTGCTTTTGACAAATATAGAAATGGATATTTATGGCCAGCATATGTAATCGTACACAAGCCTAGATTATTCACTTTCCTTTCACAGTGTCATCATTTACTTTTTCAGTATCTAGTTTGAATCAGATTTTACATTACTTTCAAACTGAACTGTATGGACCAGTAACAGCTGGTGTCCATGGGAGAAAATGCAATAGGCAGAGAAATAACAGTAGGCAGAATCAAGGATGCAAACCAGACACCCCTGCTTTGCTTATCAATGGACAACAAACTTTGTACACCAATTTTTAAAAATCCAAGAACATATAATAGTGAGGACAATTAAACTGTGGAACAGCTTGCCATTAGAAGTTGTGGATGCTTCATCGCTGGAAGTTTTTAAGAAGGGATATAGTATACTTTGTATAGTCACTTGTCTAAAATGGTATAAGGTCTCCTGTTTGAGCACGGGATTGGGCTAGAAGACCTCAAAGGTACTTTCCAGCTCTATTTTGATTGATATATAGTATATTCCTCCAAGCTTTTACTTTTTTTGCAAGTAGGAAAAAACATATTTCCCAATTTGAGGAGATAATTAATTCCCAAAGCTTAATACCTCCACCAATCAAGTAATTTTAAAGAAATACAAAGATACAATATCAATATTAAATTAACAGTATTAAACATGTACTGCTTTGCAACTGCTTTTTTCAGATTTCTTTAATTATGTAATGCTATAACAAGCCATGAAATTACCCAAAGCAAGCTGTTAAAAACCATCACTCATTTAAACAAGTGATGACTTACCCAAGATAGCATCAGTAGAATGTACAGTTGTTTTTGAGAGTTGTAACAGATATGCCATCAGCTTCACTATAATGCAGTCCCTTGGATTTTCTAACATTTAAAAGAAATGTATATTAGAAGCATCTGTAATATCATAGGTATCAATTATATATTAGCACTCAAGAGCTTTGTTTTCTCTGATATTGTTTTCTAAAGAGGAGAGAAACAAATGAAAAAAGACAGCACATTTATTAGCAAACCTGTTAAAAATGTGCTCAGGGGATGTTGGTCCCGGCATTTTCTTCAACATCCTTTAAAAGGCAGGTAACAACACATTCCCTACTCCTTTTGAAAACACAGTCTTTACTAGAGATGGTTTATTTTAGATTAAAAAGGTGGATATATTCTATTTTGCTTCAATAACAATCTATTAAAAAGCATTTGTCAGCATTCATATATGATGATAGCTTGATGGAACATTTGGAGAAGCCCCCCCCCCCCCTTCCCAGTAATCTACATTCAATGTCTTGCATTGCTAGAAGTATAAATTAAGTCGGTTTATATTAAAAAGCAAAGCATACAAATTTATTCTTTCTCTATCGGCAATGTTCCCTCTAATTTTTTTTCAGTGTGTCTGGAAAAGTATAGTGTTTGAGCGGCACATTTTCATGCCTGAGCACCTGAATTTTTTTTTTAGCCATAATAGCCATCAGAGCAGATGTTGGGGAGGGGGGCAAGGAGGAAAAGGGTCCCCCCTCTTCCTCAGACCCCCACGAGGAAGGGAGGGGAGGGGGAGGGAAAGGAAATGGGAAAGAAGAAAAGGAAAGGAAATGGAAAAGAAGGAAAGGAAAAAGAAAAGGAAATGGGAAAGAAGAAAGGAAAAGAGAAAGGAAAGGAAATGGAAAAGGAAAGGGAAGGAAAAGAGAAAGGAAATTGAAAAGAAGGAAAGGAAAGGAAAAGAAAAAGGAAAGGAGAAAGGAAAGGAAAAGAGAAGGAAAGGAAATGGAAAGGAAATGGAAAAGAAGGAAAGGAAAAGGAAAGGAAGATAGAAGAAGGACAGAAAGGGAAAGAGTGGAATGGATTGGTAGTGCTCAAAAATCAAGTCTCAAGATCCTGTGGACCCCTTTGGCTCAGGCAGTCCAACTCCACGCTGCTTCCCAGAAAAACTGCCAAGCCCAGAATGGGGCTTCAGTCTGAGAAACCTCGGATGTGCAGAGAAACACAGGCTACAACCAGCGAATCCCGTTTTCCAAGGAACCGACGAAGCCCCAAAGGACCAATGGGAATTCTCCCTTCTGCAGTGTCATTGGTCTCCGGGCAGAGTCTTCCTTGATTTCACCAATCACCAGATGGAGGAGAGAGTTCAGTGCAGAGAGAGAAGGGAGGGAGGGGGGATATTTTCAGTCACATTTAAAGACATTGAGAAACAACTGCGCTGCAGTTTGAAACTTGTGCGCGGTGTTTTCTCGTTACCTGCGCGGTTGCGCAGGCGCGCAACTTAGAGAGAGAACATTGTCTACCAGAAGTTCATATTGGCATTTCCCCTCCTTTTCTGCTGCAAAACAGCAAAAACCATAGGAAATCATTATCATGTGATCATTAGATGCTGCAACCCCGTTGCAAAGTATCCGAAATGTGATTACATGACAGAGGGCATAGCAATCGTACCTTTGAGGTCATAAGGTGTTTTTTCTTTTAAAACCCACTGTAAATTCGTACAGTTATTAAGCGACCAATTAAGTTGAGGACTAGCAGTAACACCTAAGCAGACTTGCTTTATAAGAACAAATCCTTTACTGATAAAACAGAAATTGGGTGGATTAAAGCAGAGTTCCCCAACATTTTCAGCTTTGGGCACTGATGGAGGAGAGAGGATGGTTTGTCCAAGCATGCATGCGGCAACTTCATATGCATAAGCCATGTGCACAAGTGCCTGCTGCTTACGCAAATGGAGTCCATGCATGCCCTCACCTACTGCTTGAGCAACTGAGGATGCGTATGCCAGCCGTTTCCACGGCCCTGTTGCAAACATCCCACAGCCCACTACTGGGCCACGGCCAACAGGTTGGGGACCCCTGGATTAAAGGGGTCTTCTCCATTATGAAAAGAAAGAGTAAGAAAGATGCTTTTCCAAAAATTCATTAGGAACTACTGATATTAATTTCCAGTGTTACATAAGAAATAGTATAAATGTTTCAATTACTTCTTAGATCTCTGAAAATAAAAAAGAATGAAAGAATCAAAATACAAAGATAAATCAGAATTAGAAAATCCATACCCTGAAATTTTTTCATAAGTTCCATTATTTGTTCTTTACGAACTTCTAGTTGTTTATGCAGTTCATTTAGACCTTCAAGTCTTGTTAAAAACAGTGAATCAGATATATTTATTGATAAGAAATGGTTAATTTCCTGCAAACATAAATTTGACAAGGAAGATATAATTCATAAATTTAACTCCCCAAAATCTGAGACACAAATCTAATTTTAATACATGATGCAATTGTAATAACTTCATGATGTAAGAGCTTTGACATAAATAACCAAACAGTAAAAATATATTAGTTCAAATAGGATAAAGAGATTCCATTAGCAATATGAAACATTGCCTTGGATTCCATTTTTTAAATCTGAAATTACCTGCAAAAGAGAAAATTTTCCAGTGCTGTATTTAATTTTTTGTTGAGTGGCCCGCAGTTCTTTAAAATGGGGATGATCAGGAAATGGATCTAATAATTTGATTGCTTGGTACAAATATTCATGGTTCTGATTATCTATCACTAGATACTTCAATAAGCCCAAGACCTAAAAATAAAGTAACAGTACAGCAACAATTACGGCAATTATAGCAACCACCACTTCTTCATTTTTTTAAAACAGAATTAACACACAATTTAACTATGGCTATATTAGCAGTCCATATTTTATTTCTACCAAAACCAAGCTTTATGGCAATGATAGATAAGGAAACAGACAGATTTTTGTATCTTTTTCTCTCATCGTCCAGGAACCCAGGCTAAGCAAGGATGTTCTTAGGCCTGAACTTTTTAGGCTTCAATTCTGAATAGTTTTCTGGAATAAATTATTAAATATTTATTTCTGAATAAAAATACCATTTCTCATAACTAAAGAGATACTTTTGGAACTAAAGAGATACTTTTTTTCTATTTTTACTTCAATTTTATATAGCAAAAAAAAAAGGTTTTATAAAGACAAAGCTTGTTCCTCATATTATTGTGCAAACAAAGAAAGAACATCCAAAGCTCCTCATTGTCTGTTTGAAAACAAAAGTTACAGCTGCAATTTTTCAACAATGCAATATGATTCAGTTTGGCAACTCATCTGGGGGCTCTCCCTTTATTTTATCCAAACAAACATGTTAGTGCAGATAAATAAGAACTCCATGTAGGAGAGGAGATGCTACCATAATTTTTGATAATGATTAAGGCAAACATAAATTTATAGCCTTCCAAAAATTATAATTACCAAATATGATTCCAACATTCATAACTGCAGTGCAATTCAGATGATTCTTTAATTAGTCCCTGACACTATTTGTTTCATAAATCATGGTTTAATTTTATAATTCTGATGACACACATGGGTTTTTCTTTCAAAGGAAAAAAGACGACCAAGCATACTTCTGTATCATTCAAAAGGTGAGCTACAAACTTAAAACATTCACACTTTTTGGATGAAAAGTTAATAATGTTGCATTCCAAAAATTCAATTAACAAAATGCCTAGCAAGTAGTTCCTCTAGAAATATACCTTTTCTTCAGTTTCAGGTTGTTCTCCAACAACTGGTATTAGTGTACCCACGACAACATGGAGGTGACTTGCTAGGGCATCCCCACAATACTGTACTGCTGTGTGACAAACATGATTGAGAAGGTCACAACAGAGCAAGAAGCTCCGGAGCGATACTCCTGTCAGAGGATTTGGCCTAAGAGGAATATAGGAAAAATAGCTAATAACACACATGAATGATTTTGCTTCTATTATAGAATAGGTCATAATAAGGACAATATAGAAATATTTTTACAAAAGGCAAAGATCTTAGCTATACATTTTCAAATAAAAAAATAATGGAATACAATGGAATACACTATGGGCTAAACATTGAAGCAAAGATTTGGGATCATACAACCTTATCTTCCTTTATATTTCTATATACAAACATAGCTTTAATCAATTGCTTTAATCAGGCTTTAATCAATTGCTAATTGGGTCAACAGCAACAAGCAACAAACAAACCATACTAGATTATTTAACAACTAGTGTTTCTTTAAGCCATAATTCCTGGTTCATGTCAAGAATTGGGAAAATTAACTTTGACAAGGAGAATAGCTAGTCTAAGCTCAAACATAATATGAAAACTTGTTTAATATGCTCTCCAAATCAAAAGCCAGACAAATTAAAAAGTTCTGCACTAGAGGACTGACCAGGATAAGAACAAATGAATGAAATAGAACTGAACAGAATCTATGTAAAGACAGAATAGCATAGAATGGTCTTACCTGTTGCTGATGTGGTGAATCATAGAATAAATCACATCCCGCAGTACAAAAGCCCATGCACCACCTAGGCCACCCTTTATTTCTTTCAACAGCAGATTTACAAAAAAATGATATATCATAAGCATTCTATGTTTTTTATAATTGTTTTTTGTTCCGGACACCTGCTTCCATACAGCAAATAAAATTTTGTGGAATGACTCCTACACAAAAAGAAAATATTACATGATCAATGTTTAAATACAACTTACTTCAAGTATTTATTCTTAAATAAACATGCCTTATTAGATCACTGTACATATGAATATGCTTCAAGCATCTCTTTTCAGAATTATTGAAATCACAAGAAGTCTGACATATGTGAGCCATTGCTTATACAATTAAATCATTATCCCTATTGACTTAATTTGTACATCAAACCAAACCAAAGCACTATTAATTCTGTTTGTCTAAACAAGCAACATGCAAATAATTTACTAGAATTTCTTAGCTTCTTTAATTTTAATTTGCTTAACACTAGTTTACTGATTACATACAAGACCATAAATAAAAGAACTCTGAAAGAAAAGCTACAGTCATCACTGTTTTATTATTCTATTAAATAGTGTAATGACATTAGATTTAAAAGGTTACATAACCTTTTTTGTAGACATATATTTTTTCTGCCTATGTTGCACATTTATAGCAAGTTCCATGCTCAAAGGAATGTCCAGTATTAAAATATATAATGTATATAGTCATTCATACTAATTTAAAATGCCAAAACTACTATGCAGAAATACTGTGACCATAACACAAAACTGAGCATAAGTTACTTACAGGGTTCTTAGAAAGGATTGCTATAATACCATTAGACTTCATTTTAAAACATCTATTAAGGTAATCCAATGTAGCTTGGATGATAAATGATGGAAAATAAGGAGGATTTGGAGCAGGATCCAGGTCTCTGAAAGAATAGAAAAGATCACAAATATTTAAAATGTTTGAAGAAGAGGATATAGTCTAAATGACACTAAATAGAATTCAATGAGAATGGTATACTTCATAGGCGAAAACAGATTAAATCTATATTAGAATAACTTCAGCATACATTTTTAATTTACAAATAGGATTTCCTCTGCTATAGTTCATCTAACCAGGACCTGAAGTTCATTATTTTCAAATAATTATATGGATTTATGATAGATGAAAGAGTCAGTTTGGTGTAGCAGTTAAAGTATCAAGCTAGAAACTGGGAAATAATGTGGCATCTCCTTATCATTAATTAGGCACAAAGTCAGCTAGATGACCTTTGGCCAATTATTCTCTCTCAGCCCTAAGAAGGAGGCAATGACAAATCACTTCTGAAAATCCATGCCCCAAAAACTGCAGGGAAACATTGAAGCACTCTATCTCAGGCAAATAAACAGATGTTTTAAAACATCTTTGGTTATCTAACAGTCACAATAAAGACACTCCTGAATATAGATATCATCAGCTGAAATATCACTAAAGAGATAAATTTGAAATGCACTGAAGCATGACTGGGGGGGGGGNTCCTCTCACCCCACCCCAATGCTAACAGAATCCAGGCTGCTTCCCTTCCCCACTGTCTCTTTAGCAAGACGGGTGGCAGGTGGGGTGGGGAAAAAGTGAGAGGTGTGGAACGAGACGTGGCTCCTCTTGCTGTCCTCCCCCCACTCACCGTGCATGGCAGGCTTCCTCTGCAGCTTCCAAGCCAGGGCAGATGACGAAGGGTGAAACATTCATCCCTGGGGTTGAATCAGATGCTTCACTGGAGAAACGGACCCACGCCAGCTCAGGCTTCCTAAATCTCTTGCTCCCCTGACGCAAATGCTGCCTCCAGCCACCTCTTCATCCTGGAGAAACTACGTTTTGAAAGGATGATCTGTGGGGGGGGGGGGGATTTCCTGCACATTGGCAGCAGCGTTTCCTCACAGGGCTTCTCCCAATGTCCCAGGTGCGAAGCAACATCCCGCAAAGGAAGGCATCGAAATCCATACAATTGGGGATGTCGAAAGAAGCCTTGTGAGAAGACGCCGCTGCCGATGTCTCCCCCCTCCACTTTCAGATAGTCTTGTGGGCTGGCTGGAGAGGTATTCAATGAACTTCGCTCTGCCTGTATCTCTGCAGGCAGCAGTGTAGGCACCTTCTCCTCGCAGGGCTCATTCTTCCTTCTCTCTGGCTGATTCTCAAATACTTTCAAGCAAAACACTGCCAAGAGAGGGAAGTATCTCTTCTCCCTCCCTTGTCAAAGCTCCTTAATCTGTGGCTGTTGGCTCCCTCGCTTTGTGTTTTTTATACACATACCGACATACCCACCCTTCCTGGGAATGCCGTTTCCCACTCCCAAGATTCCGTTTCCAAGGAAAGAAGAGCGCTGGGGCCACACTGGACATTCCCCCCTGCCCTGACTCCTGTCAGCCTCAACTTTGTTCCTGAAACCCTGCGGGCCACTTCTCTGCTTGAGCCCAGCCGAAGGGGGGGCTGAGAGCAAGGGTGAGATGAAGCTGATTGCTTCCCCTTTACCTCCTCTCCCAAAAGAGTCTCGGACAGAGCCACTTCTGCAGCAGGAAACTCAAGCCAGCCTTCCGGAAGGGTATTGTAGCAGCAGCTATCCACATTTTTTTTACCCTTATTTTGTCCCGATCCACGTGGCTCACTGGGCCACGTGGGTCGGGATGAAATAAGATTAAAAAATTGTGGATAACTGCTGCTACAGTACCCTTTGGAAGGCCGGTGCAAGGTGCGTGGGGTGCCTCACTTGGCCTACTGCTGCGTTTGTGGCTGTAATCGATGGCAAAAGCAGCCGCACTTGCTGGAGGCCATGGCCTGAGCAACACCTGCAAATCAGCTGTTTTTTGAATGGCAGTCAGATCAGCTCAACTGATCCGATTAAGGAGCCGAGAAGTGCTGAGGTGACTGGGGAAGGGAAGGGCTTCCTCCTGTACTTGCCATGGCACCCTTTCACTGGGGCTTATTTTTGGGGGAGGGCGTATATTTACACCCACCTCAAAAACCAGATCTGAGCTTATTAGCAGGACATGTCGTATTTTCGGGGAAACACGGTAGCTCATCTGGTTGTGATTCCTATTTGGTTTACTCTGCAAGGTTGACATCTGGTCATTGAACAAGCACTATAGAAAGAACTATTTTAATTTATTTAATTCAAGTGTTTATATAGTACCCCTATCAAGATAACTCTTAAAAACAATGCAAACAAAACCTTTACTATAGCATGTAGTCCTGCCAATCTAATTTACCTGACACAAAGGCTTCAGCAACAGGAGGATTTCACTTGTTATCATTCCACTATCCAATAATGCACAAGTCAAGGTTTTAATCCAAATTTCATGACTTTCACTGCAAGGAATCCACAAGGTTGTACGATCGAGATCTTCTGGAGGAGTTTCTCTTACCTTTCCAGGCACCTCCAAGAGCTAAATATCATTATTGTTTAGAAATAAATGTGAGAAAAAAATTAAATTAGTTAATGCCTCTTTAATTATTTATCTCTTCCATTTGCCCAATATCACATACGCTACCATGAGAACACAAAAAGTTGCATAAAACATTATTTACTGTGTGCGTTTGGATTTGAGTAATTTCTGAGGTTTATGGGTGTTCTATTTGCTCTGTAGGATCAATAATTACATCTTGAATTCCCACTTTCTACCTTGATATCCATTTTATAAATAGCTGTACAGAAAATACTTTTAACTAGTGTTCATAAAATTTTCCTCAGATTTCAAAATTGAAATATGCTCAAATAGAAGTTGTACAACCAACTATCAAGAATGCTTTAATTTGGAATACTGCTCTGGAGTTGGATTTGAGGACCCCTTTTCAATCCTATAATTCTAAAATAATCTTCATTCATTGCCCATACATTTCTCCTCTCCATCTACATCCAACTTGTATGATTGCCACAAAGAACACAAGGCAAATAGCAGCTGCTTAACTTTCTTTCTCTTTTTACTGATTGGAAGACAGTTGAAAAAGGAGCAACAAAAAGGCAAGAATAGCCTGGGGTCAAGAATCTACTTTATAAACACTGGGCCTTAAGAAAAACACAGTAAATCCTACTCTGGATGTTGGATACAACTGGCCATCTGGTTTGCTGAAGGAGTCATAGCTTATTCTTATTGGAGGACAGAATGACTGCTATGTCCTAAAGTTTGTATATGGAGCAAACAGTTTACAAGTTTCAGAGGAGGAGCTGATTCCTACCTTCCTACCCTAAATTAACTAGAAAATATAGGGAAGATTGGAGCCATTTGAAAAATTGCTGCACAGAGATCCTGCTTTCCCAATAGAGAAGTTTGCAACTGGATATTTAGAGACCTGTGTTGAAAATGGGTAAAATTAGCCCCCTAATTTATGTTCTCTCTAACCGAGGAAGAAAATTTAGGATTCTTCATTTAATTTTGTATGGCGTAAAATACAGTACCTTTTTTTTAGATGTTCTGAAAGGATGCAAGTATTTCAGCATTGTATCCGTTTGGGTTTTGTACATTTCCGAAAATGTATGTCCTATTTTGGTCGCTAAGATGTTTCTCAAACAAACAGCAGCAGCTGACCGAACTTCAATACTGAAAGTAATAAAAGCCTTTTTTTTTGCAATTTAACTACTACCCTCATACAAAAACACCCCCAAACCAGCAATACATTCACATTGTGTTGAATGTTCACTATACACTTACCTTTGATCTATTAAAGAATTATTTATGAGAGTTAATATTACAAACACCCACTGAAGTTCTCTGTCTTCAAATAGATCACATGTATTGGAACTAGGTCCATTTTTACTGGGCTGCAATGCTATGGTAGAAAAATTTATAGGACCAATTTCTCCCAAACAACTTCCAACGGCCTCTGTAAATATAAACATTAACATTATTTAGGTGGCTTTTGAATACTTGAATCCAAAGAGAAGTCAATATGCAAGGACGACAACTTTCTGCAGGGAAGAAGCTGCATAGTGCTTACAATATATGCATGTATCATAAATTTATATAAGTGCACTTTCTTTTTATATGTACTTTATTGGGTAGCTTCCTGTTCAGTGAACTAAGAAACATCATAACCGAAAATCTGGGGATTTGGCAACAGCTATATTCTCAGCAGGTATTGAATGAACTTGAACTAATTGAATGTAGAACAAGAAATATATATATATATATATATATATATATANGTGTGTGTGTGTGTGTGTGTGTGTGTCCGTGTGCAGGGAGGCAAGGGGCAGTAAGAGCAGTGGAACACAGGGCAGCCAAAAGGGCAGAGATCAGAGGTAGATAGGTGGGTGGGAGAAGTTGAAGCACACTGTACTAAATGCAAGTGACCTGCCAAATGTCCCTGGATCACATGGGGGCTCTGCAGTGTATAAGGACTTGGTGTAAGTAGCCTTCATTCATCACTATGATAACTTCAAACAGTTGTTGAACAAATGGTTGTTAAAAGAGGACTACCCGTATTTTACTTTTGCTTGACATGGAATCCTCATGACAGTAAAGAAAACTTTGCTTAAAATTATAGTACACAACACATTAACAGAGAAAGGAAAACTGTACCCTGTAAACTTAAATAAGTCAGAATTCTCTTCTGATTTGATATTGATTGGTTCATGTAGAGTCATCAACACCTCTACCACAATTTCTGGTAAGCTGCTTTGAAATAAACTGTCTGTCAGCTGTAAAAACAAAATACAGGTTTAATAGCCTTAAAAGATGAAAGACAATTAATGTGGACGCTATCTCACTTATCAATCTTCTGGTTTTATATTTAATAAAATATGCAAATAGTTTAGTTTGCTTTTTGTTTGCTATGTTTTCCCACCAAGCAGAAAAAAAATGTTCTTTGAAAAAACATTTTTCCTGAGGCACAAACTAATAAAAAAAATCTCTGAAACAAAGTGGAAAAATAAGTGCTTGGTGTCTAGATTAAGGAATTACTCCACTCAAAATACATCTTAAAAAGGGAAAATAGGGGGAGAGCACAACCCAATTCCAATAGAAATACGTTCTCTTTCTACCTATTATTCTTCATTATTCCAGCACTGGAAAGTATCAAAATGAAGCCTGCGCTAAATAGCAGAGCAATATATGAAAACAGAATTCCAAGACTTAATGAAGTACTGCCTATCACTAGCTAAATGAAAAACAAATTGAAACTTCAATAAAAGCTTAAGAAACCAGGCAGTTCTTGACATTTTCTGTCACAGCAATTACCAAGGATAATGAGAGTCTTTCAAGTAGATGTCTTCTGAAAACTGGGTTTATCTATGAATAGGAGATTTTCTATAAATTTGTTTTAAAATAGAAATAGAGCGGACAACCGTATTGCTAGCTGCTTAGATTGGAGAGAAATCAACAGTATAAAATCCAGTCTCATTTTAAACTGATACTAATTTTAAGAATGAAAAAAGTAAACTGAAAAAATAAGGCCAAAGCTGCTGATGACACTACACTAATAGCAAAGGTTCTGCTTAGCTTAAAAATGAGACAAAAATTAAATATATTAACAAATTAACTTTAAACATGAATGCTATGAATTTTAGTGATTTTTCTGAAATGGAAATTATTTACTTCTGCCCAGGAATTGAAGTAATATTTAGAAATTGATGTGTGTTTTTTTAACTTAGGATCTTACAGCATTCAAATTCTTTGCATTTAAGACTACAGGATATTAAAATCAAACTTTATTTTTTTAAAGATACCTGCTTTCCTAAGTAATTTTCATCTCTCAGCGTGTCATAGATTCTAGAAGCTGTATTGCTCTTTTGTGTGAATTCAATATCTTCGTGGTTTTGGTAGGCAAAATAAGGAAGAATGTTGACAAGGATTTTGGGGAAGCACTGCGCCAGAAGAGGACGCTCTTCCATTTCAATGTGGCTGGCAATGGATTTTATCTCTTTAAACTGATCTCTAATTATTAGTTGTGGAATCAAGATTTTATAACAGGACCTGCAATTAAAATATCTCTATGAATTATGATGAAATTACATAAAAATCCTGTTGATATGTAACAATTGAATCCTCAAAGTATTATTTTAAACAGCCAGTTTAAATTAAATAAGGGCCAACTGTCTTTTCCATCCTTGGAAAAGGATACTTAACCTTGTTTCAAATGCATTAGATCACACTTTCAAAATTAATTAATACATTTTTCCTGCACTAAAATAAAGTAAAATTTAAGCTTATTTCAGAATATAACCAATCAATTAATAAATGCTGCAGCAATCAATCTACAAAGAGAATGTATGATTTAGAAGCATACCTGTAAAACTCTTCCAAAGTAGAGCAATTTAGCAAAACATATGGGAAATCAGACAAGCTGTAATCAAGGTTTAACCACTCAAATACAAGATAATCTAAATGGGTGCTCATTAAATCTTCTGTATTTTTATAGCCAAAAGAGCCAGAAATATTTTCTAAAACCTGTGTTTGAAAAATAAATAAGATTGTCAATAGTCAAATATAATGCCATTAATATTTACAGCAATAAGATAAGGAACATGTGCCTTGTGATTTGTCACTGAACGTATTTCTATTCCCATTTTGGGTAAGTATTCAATAACTGTCGTCAGTACTAGCCACCTATCTATCTTATGTGTCCATCCATCCATATGTGCATTTATTGCATATTTATATATCTGCATGCACACATGCTCACCCTCACCCACACAGGTATACAAAAATTCTTTGTCTGCAAAAAAGTAACCCCTCACCCTCAGAGGTAATTATAAATTGGATCTTTACTGTAAAGACAGAAGCAGAATCTGCCCACCTTCAAACAACTCATCAATAAAATTCAGTTAGTATAAAATGTTCCTATTTTTGTGAGGCCCTCAAACTCCTGCATTGCCTTCTTCCCCATGGCAACAATTGCCACCATGTACAGATTCTGGAAAAAGTTATGTTAATCTGGTACAGATCATGCCATATTTCTGATCATGTGGCAACTGTAAGTAGCTATTTATGTTTAGATTCCTTACTGGAATCATGAACAGAAAAAGAAAGATAATAGGAGTTGGCGAGGTGGGGGTTGTTTTCATTTTGCTTTATTAAGCCAATTCAGGCCATGTAATCCCTGACTATCCTGGCCTGGAAGAAATATAATTTATGCTTATATTCCTCCTTATAAAAAGTGCTTTCATTTATTTATAATCTAAATAACAATATTTACTGCAGACACCTGAACATATCCCTTTTAATTCAGTAATTACCTTCCTTACGAGCTGAGGATCTAATCCATTCTCTTTAATACACTGGAAAATAGCAAATAATGCTTGTTTCTCACACACAGGACTGCTGTACAAAATCATAGTTATTAACATGAGTAGGACTGTTTTTCTGTTATGCTCGTCATCAGGATGGCTTTCTTGATTCCCTGTACCATGTGCCTTCATCTGACAAAGCACAAAGTGAAAGGAATTTTTTTTTTAGTTATAACATAATTTTATTATGGTGTTTTGTAAAAATAAAAATAGTATCCCAACACAGGTGTAACAAATGATCAAAGAGATAATACAAAGATGGATCAAATTTTGATAAACCTAAAATAACCAGTCTAAAATATTCAAAGTATTTTTAAAATGTTTATGTGTTGTAAAGTCTGACATGGCACAAGTGTCCAGGGTAATGTCATGTCAAGTGTCTTTTATTCCCATGCATCTCCTTCTCTTGTTACCAAGCATTTAGTTTGTCCTTTAAATCTGAATTATCTGCCAGTGCCTTAAAAATGTCATTTTCTGAAGATATTTTCTAAGAAAAAAAGAATGACAAGCTAGGAGGTCTCATGGGAAGGCTAGGATGGCACAAATAGTGGAAAATACCATTGAGGGTGAGTAGGGCAACAACAGATTGGAAAGTAGAATGGGAAGAGATTGGGGCTAGTGGGAGTGTGTTTGAGGGGAACAAAAACATGTACATCTGTGGGTAAAGACATGTGGGTGGAAAAAGTAGGATAAGAGTTTGTGGGGGGGGGGAATAGAAGGAAGAAGAAAGGTGGTAAGCTATCAGGAAAAATGCAGGAAGAAATGAGAGCAGAAGGGCAGTAAGAAGAAAGAGAAGGGGACGACTGGACAGGGAACATTGGCATAAAACTACAGAACAAGCAGAGAAAACCAACAAAGAAATGCCAGATGGAAAATCAGATGGAAGAGTCATGGATAAAGTTTTCACAAACTCTTTTCAAATAGACACTCTTGGATCAATAAGTGAAGGAAATGCTTACACTTGAAATCTTCATGCATGCTTAGTAATAATTATTACCAATGTTTTTGCTCCTTCTTGAACTTTGATGTACAAATTCTCAAAAGCTCTTTGTTGGAACGTCAAAGGAAGACCTTTCACTAAACCAGTTGTCTCTCTCAGTTTCACATCTTGGAACAAACTTATGATCAAGCAGAGAGAAAGGCATTTTAGAATTAAAGTGTATATTCTTTCTTTTCTAAAATAAAATAAGATTTGTGTTGTTTCCATTTTGTTCCTATGGGTTTTTTTTTCTCCTTCGGGAATAATTTTTAACAAAGTAAAACTTTGTTAAATTTATTTTCATGTCATATATTTCTGAAAGATAAACTGTTAAGTAATTTTAATAAACTAGCAATAGAATGTTAATCTTGTTGATTTTAATAAACTAGAGACAAACTGCAGCTCTAAAACTGTGTACATGTATACCTGATTGCTGACTTAGCTGCAATTGTGCAAACTTGAAAGTTGTTATCTGCAAGGAATTGAGGAAAGGCATCTCTGACAGGTAGATTTTCACCTTTAACTGTAAGCACAGCCCACTTTAAACCAGGGTCAGCCTGGGAAAAAATGGAAAAAAGGAAATATCCTCATTATATTTTTATAGGTTTGGAAACCTAAATAAGTAGTAGTATTAAGAGCAGCAATAGTACCTCTTAAATGCTTCTGGAGTTTTACTTACATGAAGGAAGGCTGTCATACAATTCACTAAAGCAATTCTTAAAGGAACTGAACATTTTCCTTCATTTGCTAAATGCCTGAAATAGAAAGCAGTTTAATAATAAAATATAACCCCTTTTTTAAAAAAGTCAAAACTTAAAATCCAATTTGTTTTTAGGATTTTTGAAATATACTGTATAAGTTTTTATTAAAAATTTCAAAAGCTTTTTGTTAGTTTTTAAATTTCAGAAAAGTTAAACTAAACTGTACATTGACATTTCTAAGGACCATTTGTTCAATTACTATTTCTTAAATTTTATTGAAAGATATATATTGCTGCCACTGGAGTATTACAGCTTGAATTGCATTAAATAAATTACTTTTGTGTTTTAAAATAATCAAGTCCTTGGAGCGAAGCAGTATAAAACTGAATGAATGAATACACTTAAGTTACAAATCCCAGCTATTTCAGAATAACTGCCAGTAAAATTAGTGGAAATTTCTTGTAGAAACTCAATTTAAGACTCATACTATTAAGAAACATTTAACTAAATTGGTTTCACTGTCTTTAAATACTGAAGATTGAATGAATACATTTAGGACTAAATTTGATTGAAATAAATATGCTTATACTTAAGCATATTTATGATTAATTTTACTTAAACAAATGAAAGAAAACCCCAGACAATAAAAATAATTAGTTCTGCACTTACTTCACTGCTATTAAAAATGCTTCATGCTCTGTAATTGTCAAATTACCCCCTTGTGTAACATTTTCCCCCATAAAAGGGAGTTGTAGACCAAGAGAAAATTATCTGACATTGTTGAATTGTAAAATGTTTATGAAACATGTCATAGTGAGCCTTGAGGAAGAACTTCCCTTCAATCCTTCCCTAATAGCAAATAATTTGGAGTTGAGCTTGCACTTAACCTACCAAAATGCTCCAACAACAGTTAAGACTTGACACCGGGCTTCTTTCAGATCTTCAGAATTTCTACTGAAAGTTCCCAAAATATTAACCATTGGAAGAAGATTATGTAATATTGCTACGCAAACATCTTGATCCCGGCGATAAAAGGAACATATATCCCTAAAAGAAATAACTACATATTTGTATCTCAAAATATATATAGCAAATTAATTTTATTAAGCAAGATTATTTTCTTACGGTAGAAGCTTGACTAATGAGACAACATAATCTTCAGGTAAGGGATTTTCTCCTCTGGGAAGTTCCTTCAACAAGACTAAATACTAGAAGAAACCACAATTAAAGATATAGTATCAGAAAGGAATAATCCAATGTTTATGTACAATTGCATGAATGTAACAAAATTATACTCTTTTTATATTTAGCATGCGAGCAAATATATATTGAAGATATAATTCTTTTATAACAAAACAACAGAATTGGAAGGGCCTTTGGAGGTCTTCTAATCCAACCCCCTGCTCAAGCAAGAAACCCTATACCCATGATGGCAAACCTATGGCACACGTGCCAGAGGTGGCATGCAGAGCCCTCTCTGTGGGCACGCACAATGTCACAAGCTGCTCGTCTGGTTTCCGGCGTGCCAGCTAGTCTTCGTGAGCACCATTTTTCAGGCCGCTTTTGGGCCTTTTGGGGGCCATTTTCAGGACATTTTTCAGGCTGTTTTTTTGCCCTGAAAAAAACCCAAAAATAGGCATGTGCATAGCAGCCAGTTGGTTTTCAAGTGTCCAGTCCTCTGGCATGTGCAAAGACCAGCTGGTCAGTGTACATGCAAATGCCGGAAACCCGAAGACCAGCAGGCCAGCGCACTGGTCAGCTGGTTTGGGGGTTTCCAGCGCTCTGGTGCGCGGCCATGCATCCAGTTTAGGCACTTGGTGCAAAAAAGGTTCGCCATTTCTGCCCTATACTATTTCAGACAAATGGTTATCCAATCTCTTAAAATCTACTTACACTGTTATATAAGTACATATAAGTATGCTATTCAAAAATATATGATACAAAAATATGATTTATAATATACCAAAAAGAATCCTTCAGTTGTCAACATTTGTTTTTTAAAGCAGATCTACAGCAGATCTGTATGTTCAGATTTGGCAGTATACAGCTATAAACCCTGCACAATGATCTATATCCCAATAACTTCTTGACTAGATAATTACAACGCACTCTACACTCGTACCTCTCCACCAGGTCTGGAAGCTGCATCTAGAGTGGAAGAGAGCTGTTTGATTTTCAAGAGAAACAGGTCCTGAAATTGCTGCTATCATCACCCATGAGCTACTAGCCCTAATATAAGCTGCTTAAATTAGTATATAAAATCCTGAACAGCTAATAACCCAGATATTTACAAGGTAGTCCCAGCTAATTTAATTTTGATAGTTTTATTTAAGACTGTGTTATTGTTTGAGGATTTTTGTCACTCTGAATTTCTCTGAAAGAAAGGCTGGTATAGAAATAAAATAAGTTAATAGTTAACACTCCAACAGCATTAAAAACAGAAGGCTAAACAGAATAATGTTATACTCACCACATGTAAATGTAGAGGTTTAATAAAATCAAATGAATCTCCATCTATTAGCACTAAGAGTTTCCTCCAAATTTCGGAACATCTAAAGGGAACTGTTTGTTTTGTGGTTGCTGTGGAAGCTATACACAAGAACTTCAAAATATCAAGAAGAAGCAAATCCTGTTTAGATAGATGTTCTTCTGATAATGGACTTGTGGCACCTGTTCAATATGATGAAGCTATGAAAAGACAGCTCTCAAAACTTACAATCAATTATCTGTCAGGAAGCCATAAGCAACTGCATTTAATCAGAATGCATATTCCTTTCTGCTTATCTTCTATGAATCAGTACATTGGCTGCCACATATACAATGAAATAAAGTAAAAATATAACAATACTACAAAAAATGTACTAACATAACATTGGCATGGGGGAAATATAATGGGAATGGTCAGCCTGTAGAAATTTAAAACAGCCACAGAATTGGTATTTATACCTTGTTTATTTAGATAGGCAGCATTGCCCGGCTTTGAGGGTTATTTTAACTGAACTCATCACCTCAGTCTTTTCAAAACCTGTCATAAGGCAATTTTTCTAAGCATCTCCAAAACAATACATGGGATGAAATATACAAGGTCTTCAACCATTGGATGACAGTACAAGTTTTCGGTCTACACCATGGATGTCAAACTCACGGCGTCACTTTGCCATCCTGTGATCTTTTGCAATGTTTTTCCCTTCACGGGGCTGGGGTGGGCATGGCCTGCATCCAGCCCATAGGACGCCAGTTTGACACTCCTGGTCTACATGTTCTAATTACACTTATGTATCTATATACTCTAAACGTAGATGCATGCCTTGATGTAGACTTCTCACTGCCCCTAAGGAAATGTTTTATTATACTCTATATTATAATTCAATGAATGAGAAGTTATATGTTCCTATAAACAAAGAAACATCTTGAGAATCTCCAACACAAAAAAATAGAAAACTCTGAACAGATTCCGAAATGGTGATAATCTACTCTTGCTTAGAAATAAATTCTTGTAAAGAAATGTCAGTTGATAAAAGACACACAAAACTGAGTTCTGAAAGAGACAATAATCACAAATACAGGTATTCTTCTCATAGTAATCACAATTGGGACCAACAACTCAATCACTAAGCAGAAAATCACGTGAGTGCAATTGGACTTACTATATTACTTACTTCCTCTTTGGTCCTTAAGGGAGTAACATGATCCAAGAAGAAGCTGTCAATCTTGTGAATGCTATATGGCAGGGGTGTCAAACTGGTGGCCCGCAAGCTGGATGCATCACGTGCAGGCCATGTCCCCCCACAGCTCCGCAAATGGGAAAAGTATCACGAAATATCATGTGACGGCGAGTTTGACACCCATGCTATGTGGCATCACAAAAGCCTTTATTTTATAAATTCTCATACAAATCGTAGTATCACATCTGGTGTATTTTTTGAAGTTGCTTCAAGTACCTGAATTATAATTCCTTACTACTCAAACATATTTTTTTCTAAAAGCATTCAATTGCACAAAAATATACATAAAACAGATTGAATATACCTGTTAAGGTGTGCACATCTCCAACTTCATTCACTTCACCAACTTCAGTACATTCATCATCAAATAGATCAAAGACTATTTGGGTTCCCTCTTCCATTCTACTTTCATCCGGGAAATCATCCATTAAGTCAATTTCTCCAGTTTCACTTGACTTTCCAGTAGAAAACATCTAATAGAAGACATTTATGCATACCATCTCTTATAATGTGAACAATACATTATAATAAATATGTAATAAATTTATATAAATATAGTTTTATGAATAACATCCATTTGCCCTTTCTGTACAAATACCTCTAGATAAAAATTAGCCATCTATCCTTTTGCCAAAATATTTCTTCGGTATAGAAGCTTCACTTCCACTTGTTCATTAATGTTTAAATATTGGTTGGCTACTTTGTATAATAAGGTTTCCATAAAATGGGGTGTTTGCTAAGAAAGTAATTTTAGAATTCAGTAATTACTATTATAATTTAACCAATTTAAGCAAAGCAATAGAGCTAAGTTTTTCATATTGACTTCACTTGGCTGGGCAATTTACTTATCTCTGATCAGTTTTTCTGCTTTTAATACCTAAAACCAATAAAACCAATATGACTACAGCTTAATAATTATATGAAAATTACTGAAATTTTTCATTGTGCTTTATATAAAACTAGAATAAGCTATTTACAAGGATTTAAATTATTAACCCTTATGTGCTACACACTTTGCAAGCAATTACTTGATTACTTTCTTGGCAGTGTTACTGTAATTGGGAAAATAGTAGTAGGCAAGATTAAATGTACTTAGCTAATCCACCACTTGCCAGAGGTAAGTTAAAAAAATTTTATTTTGAGAAGTAAAGAGTGGTAGAGGAAAAACTGTTGTACAGTTCCTAAGAGGAATATAGACACTAGATATTTCCATTCAAATTTTCCACAGCACTTACTCTTCTGCATTAAGTATTGTTCTCTCAAGTAGAATGAACTTTAAAATCTGTGCCCGCTCACCTGATGCTTATCTAACTGAAAGAGATTAATTATAGCAATGAAATACCTCTGATCCCTGCCACTGATAAAGGTGTATCAATGTACAAATAGAGTGATATAAGAGAAAGATGTGGAAAAGCACAGAGATAGCATTTTCCATTTGTTTAAGGAAAACCAAACCCCCGAAATGCAATGCCCGCCCTTCCTGTACGCACAGTACCTCACACGTGCCTCCCCCCTCCCCCATATATGCACAACAGACACCCAAACACCATCTGGCCAGCGGGAGGCATGCATGCATGTGCGACAGAGCTGAACTCATAGGTTTGCTATGCTGGGTATATACAGTCTCTGGAAGGGAAACAAACATCACATCATATCTACTCACCATAAGTTTGCAGATACTTGTAAGATCATCCATCAACTTGGATGTTAACAAATGCAAGAAAATAGTAGACAAACTCTTTTTGGGATTTTTCTGTTGAAACAAAGAATAAGAAGAGATAAATATCGCCATCTCTCCTAGATTTCCAGAAAGCTTTGAAAACCTGGCTTTAGTCCAAGGCTAGGGTTGATATTTATTATTTGTTCAGTGGCCCCTGTTTTCTTGTGTTTGTTATGTATTAGTTTATTATAGCCTGGATTGCCTTTTTGATTTAATGCTTTTAATGTTTTTGTCTTTTTTAGTTTTGTATATTGCTTTGCATCTACTAGAGTTGGACAGCCACTAAATTTAAATACACAAACAAATAAAAGCAGAAGAAACAAAAATTGTAAAAAATTATAATGAAGTATTTGGCTTTTTGTACTATAAAATAATCTGTAGTAAACTGTAATCAGTTCCCCATGCATCTTGTAATTCAAACCCCCAAGGTCTGAATGCTGATAATACTTAAGATTGGAGAACTTGATTAAGCTGCTTTTAATGAGCAGCAAATAGCTCAGGTAAAATGCAAATAACCCAAGTAAAATTACACTAGATAAAAAGGCATCAAGCATTATTAAAAACAAATTTTCAAGCTGTATGATAAAACCTGAAATAAGCTGCTATTGAAAAGCAAGGATCAGTTTCAGAATCAAACTTCTTTCTTCAAAGCAGTGCTGCCTAAATTTCACTGAAGTCAATCTGACTGATTCAGCCTCACAAGAAATAAAAACCTCTCTAGCGATTTTAGGTCTTATACAGTAATTGAAAGAACAACTTGGAAAAATCTCATAGCACATACTAAAATAATAAAGCAGTTTCAATATTATATCAAACAATACCTCCATATTTTTCTGCAAAATAACTGGGAGTATATATGTACCGTATTTATATAAGACGCACCTTTTTTCCTCAAAAAAGAGGCTGAAAATCTGAGTGCATCTTATACATCGAATACAGCATTATTTGCCTCCCGAAGCTCCGCCCCTTCACCAAAATGGCCTTGCATAGCCTTATGAAGGCTTCCAGAGAGCTCCTGGGGGCTGGGGAGGGCAGAAATGAGCAAAAAATGGGCCGTTTTTGCCCCCCCCCAGGCCCCAGCAGCACTCTATAAGCCTATAAGGCTATGCATGCAATTCTTTTGATGAAAAATGAGCTGTTTTTGCACTTTTTGCCCCCCCTCTCAGGAGCACTCTGCAACCCCCCCCCCTGGCTATTCATGCCTTTTATTTGAAAAAATGGGCCCGTTTTTGCAAAAAATGAGCCATTTTTTGGAGGTTTGCAGAGTTCAAAAACTTTTTTTCCCTTTTGGAAAGCTCTTTAACTGATGAGAATTACATTGATCGAGTGCTGTGCCAGCAGAAACAAAATCTTAAGGTTTGTCAGCGATTTCCTTCTCCAACATATGGATAAATACACCTGGAAACATCTACCTACCTACCTATTCTCTTTCTCTCCCTACCTATCCACTGTATTTCTCTTTCTATCCCTCTATCTACCTACCTACCTACTCTTTCCCCCTACCTATCTACTGTATTTCTCTATCTATCTATCTATCTCTTTCTCTTTCTCTCTCTATCCCTCTACCTACCTACCTACCTACACACACTCTCCCCCTCCCTCCCGACTGTATTTCTCTATCTCTATTTCTCTCTCTTCTCTCCCTTTATCTATCTACCTACCTAACTACACTCTCTACCTATCTTCCTACTGTATTTCTCTTTCTTTCTCTCCCTCTCTATCCCTCTATCTACCTACCTACTTATTTTAAAAAATTGCCTCTTCAAAACCTTGGTGCGTCTTATACTCTAGTGCATCTTATACTCCTAAAATACAGTATATATGGACATTCATATATAATAAAAATGAACAAATTGGTCTTATAAATAAATTACATAAGTTAGTAATAGGCATAAATACATAGATTTCAACTTTGCTCATACTCAAATTGCCCTACAATCAACAAATGTCTTACCTGGGTACAGTTGCATAAGCAACTTGTGCATTGCAATATTAAATTCCTCAATGAAACAATTCTAGAATCTTCATTTAGCTTGTTTTTAGACTGAGAAATGCTTTCCTCCACATAATTAAAACATAACTGTAAAGAAATAAAATGAAATTATTTTTATAGAAATAAAATGAAATTATTTAAGACGTTTCATTGTGTGTGTGTATATGTATATACATATATACATAAATACACATACATACGCACACATACATACATATATGGATATACTGTACATTGCCCTTATTCACTGTGTCCATCACCAAGTTTAAAACTGCTAAATGGAACCAACTATGTTAATAAATTAACTGCATTAATATATGGCATGTTTTGTAATTTATCAAGATATCTTAATTTTTCAAAAAAAATCCCTAAAAAGAGATTGAAAAGGTCCAACCTTCAAACTGCATTTATCTACAATTAGTGAATATTTTGATAATGAAATACTACCAGACTGCTAGCAAACCTCCTTGGACTTACAACTTCCTGCCGGCTTCCCCATTGAATGTTGGTATACCTACCTAGCCAGTATTCACATTTGTGTGCTGAGTCCAATTATTATGACAAAATTAAAAGTTAAAGTCTACCAGGATAAAATTTATGTAAGCCAAAAAATTATTTGCTTAGGCCATATTCATTAGATAGATCGAGAAACTGAATCTCCACACCCAACCGGGAAAATGCAACCAAGCATCATTACTACCTATATAAGTAATGAGAACTGATACTTCGGGACAAGTATATAAATTGTAGACAACTTTTTTCCACATATATATGTGAAGTTGAAGCCCAGAAATAATGCTAAAGAAGATTTAATTTCAATCTTCTCATTAACAAAGGCTTAGAAATAATAATAAATCTACTAATTCTTGTTCTTCTGATATATTAAAGATATAGCACTACTTAAATACTATGCTGTTAAGATAAATTAATGTTTTCTCTGGAAGCTGTGAGTTACAGATAAAGATCCATAAATGTGAAGTGGATTTGTCAAGGGAAGAACAAAGAAACAAGTGCAATGTATCCAATATTTCAAAATGCTTAGCTTTTTCAGATAGGCTTTACTCATGTGTCAAGTCTTTGCATGTGAAATCACAAGGCTAAACTACAATGTCTCAGTGAAGACCCTGCATTTTCAATTTGTGCTCAATAGGCTTTTTAAGAACAGTAAGTTGAATTAATTTATATTTTACCTCCTAAAATACTGGCTCTTAAATATTATAACAGATTGAACAGTTTGAAAAATCAGTGCAAGAATCAGGTTTTTATTCACTGCTAATTTAATTGATTATGTACCATCAAGTCAATGTCAACTCTTCAGCAATCATGTGGATGGGTTTTCTCCATGATGATCACCACTATAACTGAATCTATCTACCTTGTAACTGGTCTTCCTCTTCTTCCTTTTTCAACATTAGAGTCTTCTCCAGAGAACTAGATTTTTGCATAATTACTCAATGCCTCTACATTCCTAGAGTGCTGAATATATGATTTTGATTAGGAGTTCAGATTTCCGGTACTGAGGATGCATGGGGAGATCTGTTTATCCAATCACACATTCTTTAAGGTATTTAAAATCTAATTTTTTCTTCTTCACGCCATTGCTTCATAACACTTTCACATAAGTGGTTAGAACTTTTATAAGAGGATGAAATTTCATTCATGGACTACTGGAGACAATTTAGTTCTCAAGACTCCGGGGACTGTATTTCATATGGGAATTTTATTCATGTTTATATTTTGCACTAAATATTTATTCTTGAATAATTTTAGTAAGTATGCACATACAACAACATGCATTCTTGAGTAATTTTGATACAACATAAATCAAATTGTTTTACTACTGTAGCTATTAAGGAATTAGGTGGATTTTTGCTTGGTTACTATTACTAAACATTTTGCAAAGTAATACAATGAATGAATAACTGTCAGTTAAGAGCTACTAATTCATTGACTGTTTGAAGTTATAATGGCAATGAATGAATGAATGAATGAATGAATGAATGAATGAATGAATGAATGAATGATACTTACAAATGATCCTCAAAATTCTGACCATCCCCAAACCCCTATGTTCATTTGGGTACTTGGCAACTTGGCTCGTATTTGCAGCATTCCATGGTCATACAAATGTGTTTTGCAACCTTGCTGGCTTCCCACAAGTAGTCAATGCAGGGAAATCGTCAAGTTGCACTGGTTAAGTTTCCCAGACCTGGCAGCAGTTGCCCCAGTTCTGTCATACTGACCACCTATGCATCTGCCTGAGAGTGGCTATTTTCCTCTTACCAGATAAACCTCCTGGGACTTACAACTTCCTGTTTCCACGCTGAATGTGCTTTGGAAATTCGCAGGATGTTGCAAGGACGTCCTCACTTAACAACTCATGATTCTCACTTAAATGAAAACAGGGACTCCCAGGATAATTGTCATTAAGCAGTATAATCATGTGACATTGCACTTTCGACTGCATTGCTTAGTAATGGAAATTTACTCCCAATTATCTTTGTTAAGCAAGGACTGTCAATAATAAAAACACAGGCACCATCTTAATGCTTCTCCAAAGGTCACAGAATTCCTTGATCTCATTTGCAAATTCTTTGCTTCCTAGAGCAAACTTGTCTTCTTCTTTTCCTACCATTACCCCATCTGGAGATTTAAAATAAGCAGATAATCAGAAGTCTATAAAGGACTGAGGAGAAAAACTATCCAAGATGAAGGCAGAAAATGAATTGAAAAGAGGATGAAGCCTGAAGTAGCTCATACACTATAGATATCTTCATGTAATTCTTAAAATTATATCACAGAGATTAATAATCATATGAATGCTTCTTCATATCTACTAGGAACAATTACTTGAGCTTAAGTCAAAAAGTTCTACCTTAGCTTTCTGAAACAAATCCAATTTACATGCTTCTTCTTCTGTAAGAATGCCAGCATAACAATAGCAGCCAAGGACACCAGTCAGGATACTGGTCCAACGCATTCGCATTTCCACAGGTATAGTCTGAAAAATAAACAAACCCATCAAAAAACATGTTCAATTCACTTGGAGGTTAATTTGGATTTTTGTTAAACTAACATTTTCCAACTGGTCACGGATATCCACATTTGTGGACAAATCAAACCCCTATGGTGAGATTGGTTTGTCCATGAACTTTTTGATTTGAGAGCAACTGGTAAGTGGATTTGCTCTCAAATTGCTACATGCAATCCCAGTCTAAAAAGCAGTCTACCTGTAATCTATTTTATTAATTTTACCAACACCTTAGTCTACTCATAAGTATACGGGGAACAAGTCAGACTTTAATAAACCCTCAACAATGAACAAAGAACACAATTTTCTTTCTGGCTTACCTCAGCAGAAACGTTGCAAAGTAGTTGGTCTGACATCATCATAAGATTGTGTTTTAAGGTTTCTTCCAGCTTCTGACTGACAATGAGGCAAGAACTACGTTTGTTTTCTGATACATTTGTCATATTTGTAAAAATATTGGCTTCATTGAAGGTTGTCTGCAAGTAAAAAGCTTCAATTTCTGAAAGACTGGTTTCTTCTTTCTCTTGGTTATGTTCCATGCTTAATAAAATAAAGTGTATTTTCATTTATTTATCACTTGTTAATAATCCAATAATGGTTAAACTACCCTCCCACCCAGAAAGGCAAATTCCTATGATTTAAGAGATCGGTACATGAAATTTGTGCAATTTACTGCTCAATATACCTATTCAGGCCCAAACTGTTAGAAAATGGATGACTCAATCATTAAACCAGATGCATTATTATCATCAATGTTCAATAATTCATTTTAAACTATGTTTGTGGAGGTTCAGGTAGTCCATGACTTACAACCATTCACTTAGTAACAGTTTGAAGTTACAACAGCACTGAAAAAGATGACTTATAACCATTTGTCACACTTATGTTTCAGAAACTCCATAGTCACATGATCAAAATTCAGACCTTTAGCAACTGGCATGTATTTATGATGGTTGCAGTGTCCTGGGGTCATGCAAACACCTATTGTGATCCTTTGACAACTTAACAACTGTGTTACTAACTTAAAAACTGCAGTGTTTCACTTCACAACTGTGGCAAGAAAAGTCGTAAAATTGGGGGGGGGGGAATCCACTTAATAACTGTCTTGCTTAGCAATGGAAAATTTGGGTTTAACTGTGGTCAAAAGTCGAGGACTGCCTGTACTGTGTATCAAAAGGCATGCATAGTATATGCAAAGAAGGTGACCAAGGCAAAAGTACAAAGAATACTAATGACTCAGAAGACAAAGACACTCAGTCATAATGGGGCTCGCTGGCTTTTAATTTTACATCTAAAATAGCTTTTATGGTTCAAAATTTTGATCCCTGTGGCTTGTATGACACACCATACGTATTTAAAAATCGTATTTTAGAGCAATGTATCTAGAACAGAGACAAGCTAAATAGCAGACAACTGGTGTGAGGTAGTGCCTAAAGCAGACATCTCCAACCTACAGAGATAGAAAAATGCCTTCATTAATTTTTTTAAAAACTTACCATTCTTGTGCATTGTTGAAAAATGCCATTGCTGCTCTACAACTTTTCATAGTCAGACTTACAAGGATTTTCTGTAATTCCAGATTAGGAAAGTCACTGAAAAAAAACAAAAAACAACAACAAAATTATTTCATGTTTGAATACTGAAGTGTTAATAGATTCAACAGAAGATGCACATGGAAGTCTAATTTTTCACTGTGCGTCAAGTATTTGTAGGAAGTACTTATTTGTTTGACTTATTTGTTGCCCATCTCGTCTAGTATTTCCAACATCATCCCCAGCAAAATCTTTCATAGAACAATCTTTTACAGAACAACCAATTTGCTATTGGAAGGAACAGATTTTAACTTCACTAATTGTGAAGTTAAAATATTTTTATACATTATATTAGGGGTCCCCAACTTCCGGTCTGTGGCACACTACCAGGCCATGGTCTATTCAGAACGAGGTTGGCGTGCATGCATGTGCAGCTCCACCGCTCGCGTGGCCCAACTCCCCTTCTCCCCCCCAACCAGCCAAGCTGCGAAAGTTGGAGACTGCTGCATTATATGAAGACAAGAGAAATTCAAGAGTTCCATGATGTTTGGAAAAATTCATCAGAGGCCAAAAGAAGACAAGGTGGTTAAATGACAGGTGACACAAACAGGAGCTTACAAGAACTCAAGGAAGCAGTTATTGAAAAAAAATCCTGAAGTGATGTCCATCATATTATGAAAAGCTGAAAATAACTGAATAAGGACCAAGGAGCAAGATTTAGTTCCACTAGACAAATATGTATCTAGATATGAGATGCTATTAGGTTACAATGAATTAAAAATATCCTTTCTTTTTTGCTGGATAATCAGGAAAGGGTTACACTCAACAAATGTGGGCATCAAGTTTCTAAACATACTTGTTTTTTTTGCATGAGTAATAAATGTCCCAGTGACCATTTCAATAGACTATTGTCAGCCTCTTACACTTGAAAGACATTATATCCTTTTATCTGTGTAGACTGTGATACAATGCAATGTGCTTTTCAGTTACGCAGAAGAAAAGAAAAAGGATACAAATTGCTAAAAGTTTACAAAACACTAAACCAAATGAAAATGAAAAAGTAAAAGTAAAAACAGTGGTAGGAGGTGGAAGTCGCCCACTATTTCCTGTTTAGGGTAGGGTGGAACTAAAGTGACATTTTTCAGGACAAGAGCTAAAGAAGAAATCTAAATCCTGGGACCTGTCTTTTGCAGTTATAGACATTTTCCTCAATATATGTTTGAATATTTTGTTACAAGTGGAAAATATTATATAATCTTCCTAAAACACTATGTATTTACATGCCATTCAACTACATAATAATATAGAAATCAAACTGTTGATTTCTCACTGTTGTGAAATAAGTTTGCTCTGCTAAATGTTCTCATTAAAATGTGATTTGTTATTACGGTACTTTTGTAAATTTGACTTCAAATCAATTATTTGTTACAAGTTCTTAAAACTAAGAACATTTTAAGGCAAGGTGATTTAAATTCTAACCCACTATGAAATTTCAGCAAAGTAAGGCTCTAAGCTCACTTACCAAAGTGAAATTAAAAACAAACATAGAAAATTTTGATTTCCTCCAAGGAACAACTAATTCTTTTAGGTGACTTGATCTCCTGGCCATACCTGCACAAAACTGGAGGGAGTTCCATGCTGTCTTCCATAACTTCTTCCACAAGGAGAAGCCATTTTACAATTCGTTCTTTCAGTGTACAAGTTGCGTTTCCTTCCCAATCATTCTGAAATGGTCCAGTTTTCAAAGTTTCTGGTATTTCCAAAGCTGTCATTGCTGATGCTAAACACTGTACAGCAAAACTATCAAATAATAACAGTAAGTACAAGCACTTGATTTACAGCTCTAATATTCATATAACATCACCAGTGTGGGGAATTCAGTCTCCAATATTTTTCTCCCCATGACCAAAACCACATCACGTTTAATCAAGATTTCACCAGTCAAAATTGGAATGGTAAGTAGAATTTTAAAGTCTAATTAAAAACATATTTGATAAATAAATAAAGTATGGTTAGATACCCAAATTATTCAGAACACCAGATGAGAACACACTTATTATTCAAAGATGGCTGGTAGAAGTTACAACAATGCTAAAATCATTCTCCTCCATTTGTACCACTACTTATGCTAAACAGGACTTATGATTGAAAATAATTTACTAAATATAAAATGTAGACATTTTAATTAAATTTTTAGTGTTTGTAGTGCAAGGGCAGACCATTTAATCATGTTACATGTTTTGAATTACGACAGAATGTTTCATCATTGGCCAGAACTAAGAGTCGAAATCGCTGGAGGACATGAGTTACTAATGCTAGATTACTCCTTTACAATTAACATACAATTAATCATAGAGTATCAAAAAGTTTCATTTTACCTTGATGGCTTGCATACAGAACCTGCAAATATCCTCCAAATTTCCTTGTCCATTGTTATTAAATTTCTTTGAAATAGGACTCCAAGCAATTCAAAGCTTTCCATTTCAGATTGTCGAAGGTTTAGACTTCGATCTACCAAAGACCAAATTCTGGACCATGTTCGCTGCAGTTCAAACTTCTGTGTGATACTGAGGTCTGTTTTTTGGCTTTGACACAGAGCAACCTCTTTAAGACATCTTAATACATAAGGGGTCCGTTCTCCTCGACGTTGCTGAAGTAATAATTGGTAAAGTATATTAAGTAAATTAGTCAGCTCATTGTCAGGAAGGCTCCTTGGGTACTTGGATACTAATCTGGTGGTAATCTGCAGCCTTGAAAACAGAACACCAAAGATTATTAAGAGGACACTAATAATAGACACGTTTCAGAAATAAACCAAACTGTTTTTCTTTCATTTTCATTTACCAGGGTATGACATCAAAATTATTCTGCGATTTTTGCAAGTGTTCTTGAATCACTTCCCATCCTAATTCAATTCTTCTACGTTTGGATGGCCCTTCTCCACTTCCATCTTCTTGCTGAGTAACTCCATATGACTGGGTTACCTCTAAGACTTTGGTGCCTTCAGTAAACACCTTATTTAAAAAAAAGATATTTAAAGAATTAAAGAGAAATACTGCTACATATTTTACAACTGATGTGTAGTACAAAAAAAAAATATTAAGACCATGAAATAGTCAATCCATTGCCACAAGGTAAACCCCATCTCCAAAACAAAAACTAGAATAATTTCAGATCATACTGGCAAATTTAAATTCTTATGGTTTGCTATAAGTTTGCAGTAAATTAAAGAAAGAATGTGTATTATTAAGTTTCCATGAGGCTTAACAAATCAATTTTGCTCCTTAAAACCTTCCAGTTTTTTTTAAAAAAAGCTGATAATGTCAGCTCTTGTTAACAACGGAATATCATCAGCCACATCCCCTGGAACTCTGGAAGAATTTTCTTTTTAATCAGTTAAGAAAACTGACTATGAAGATCAAGCAGACAGGTCTCCTTTGCACTGCCCTGGGGTGGCACTCTGTTAGGTTACACAACAACCCAACTTAGAACAACCACATGACAGTATAGTGACAACTTACCTGGTGACAAGAATCAGCCATTAACTCAACCAGGTTGTCCTTTAGAACAATACTGTGAGAGCCTGAAGAATATTTTCCTCGGTTGCTAATAAGAGTTATCTCATTAGCTAACAGATCATATAGGTTGTATAAAGTATGTTGCCATTTTGTTGAGCTGTATGCTCCTGTTTGTACAAGAGTTAGAAAAAAATAATTTTGTAAAAGAAAAGATATGAATTTAAGAGTTCATTATTAATTAGCAACACATATGTCTGTTAAAATGATTAAACAAAAACTTAAATACTTAAGCAAGCAATACTATAAAAAATTATGACATATGCAAATAGATACACAGTCCCAGATCAATTCTGGATCATGCTGGATTACTGGTAATTAAATGTAGAGAGAGCCCTTTCGGTGTAACGGTTAAAGCATCAAGCTAAAGAATGGGAGATCATGAATTTTAGTTGTGCCTTAGACATGAAGCCAGCTAGGTGGCCTTGGGCCAGTCACTGTCTCTCATTCCTAGGAAGTAGGCAATGGCAAGCCACTTCCAAAATCTTGCTATAGGGACTTAGAAAGAGAGAAAGACAGATCACTGCATAGATGGTTTGCATTATCTTTTTCCAGAATAATTTCCATTTTAATCTGATGATTTCCTGATTATCTCTTTTACAAAACATTGATCAGGCCCACCAAACAAATTGAATAGGTTGACCCAGAATCTTCTGAAACATTTTCAGTGACAAAATACAAAAATTACATAAAGCCCTTTGTTATTTCAAAGCTTTCCATGTACCTTCTTCCTGAGTTTTAGCTCCATTTGGATGATGAACACAAATCTGAAACTGAACAAATTGAATGATCTGCTTCTTCAAAGCATCTTTTGGTTTGTACTGAGCCCATATAAAAAGCACAGTTGATAGAATTTCCTCTCCTGTTTTGCAAACATGCATGCGGTAATTCATTGCATAAATGGGGAGAAACACATTAATGGCTGCAAACATGTGTTCGAGGCCTGCAAGGTTTCTTTCTTGCCTATAATAGAAATAAAGCATATTTTTATCAGACGCTAAGCAATCCAATCTTAGGATCTATGATTAAGCTTAGAACTACAATTTATTTTATTTGTTTGTTTTCCTTTCTCTATAGTAGCATACGCCTTGACAATTATTACTATAAAAGCAGCATTATCAAGATCCAAAGGTGTCATGCACACCATAAAACTTTAGAAAATATTAGTTATTGAAAACTGCTACTGATAGATCAGCAATTTCAAATAATTCCACATCTGTCTAGTCACTTTTTATTGTCAGGAAAAGAAAGGTGTCTATAGATTATGACTACAGAACTCACTAACTGTAATACATTCTACCTTTCAGAAAAGATCAAACAGAAATTATAATACATCCTGAATTCAGAAGCAGCCTTTTATAAACTACTTCACTGGACCAAGCAGGTATCAAAGCTACAATTCTTCATGAGTAGAAGCAAACTTTAAAGACATTTTATTTCATAAAGAGTTCCAATTTTTAAATTTTAAATTTAGCCACAATAAAAATAGGAGAGAAAAAACTAGTTACAAAAACTGGAAACATTTGTCCTATCAGAATGATACAGAAAATATTTAAATGTTAAAATGAGCTCAGTAGTTATCAGATTAATGGAAAATTAAGTTCAAAAGATGTTTAGTCAGTTATCATTTTATATTCAAATTTAATTCAGCAAAGAAAATGCTATTTACCTTGCACGATGTACAGCTTTTGAGAAGACGTTCAAAATATCTGAATTGAACTTGTTAGTTTGGAAACAGAGGCCTCTAGTTAATGTATAGATTATTCTAGCCACCAAAACTTTGTTAACATCTCCAGAAGGATTGAGAAATAATTTAAAGTACAGATTTTGAAGATCTAGAGGAGCAATCAAATTCATTAAAGAGATTATAAATAATTGACACATAAACATTTTGCATGCTTTCAGCTATTCATTCTTGTATTGCAGAGTTGGATTTCTTTTAAATGAGTTGCATTTTATTTATATTTAGAACTCTAGGAGTTACAGGAACAAATCTAGTGACACCGCAATGGTACTATAATTCGGGACCATACGTATTTTGGTTGTTTGAAAGGAATTTTAGGAAGTAGCACACCCAGCAACCTTTATTTGAGCAAAGGAATACTTTTCTGAGTTATAATAAAGTCAGTTCAATTAATAAAACCAGATTAAAATCTGATTAACAAGAAAAGTTTGTTAACAAGAAAACACAGTTGCTTTGGTTGTGAAATTCTTTGGATCCAAAACAAAAAAAAAGTATATACAACTTTCAAGAGCCTTTGAAGGCATAGAGACTCTGTCCTTGATACTACCAAAGCACTTTTCCTACTTTGAATAGGAATAGTTGCACTTACCCAAGTATCATATTAAATGTAACTTTAGGTGTAACTTATAAATTAATAACATCTGAGCAATATTTATTAATTTAATAAATCAAATTAAGCTGAACTCTCAGAAAGTATAAAAATATGAGCTGGAAAAGAATGTCATTCAGTGACAGAGACAATTAACAGATGATAGGTATTCTGTTTTTGGATTTGGATTTGGATTTGGATTTGG